TAAGTGGAGAGAAAATGTTTTGAGAATGATGAGGGCAATGAATGTACAAATGCGCTTTACACAATTGATGTGTGTATGGATTGTGATAATAGTTGTATGAGCCCCTAATAAAATGATTAGAAAAAAATAAAAAGAAAGGAATTCCCTCAATCTATTAAAGCGCATCTACAAAAACACCACGCTGGACAGTGAACCACGACATCCACAGTGGAAAGCAGTACGGAGCATCCTCAAATCACGAGGCATTGCTATTCCTTATGACCGGGCAATCCTGCTACTTGGTATAGACTCGGTGACAATAAACAGCAGCATGAACACACACAAGCACACCCACGTTCATCTCAGCACTATTCACAAAAGCAAGGACGCGGACACAATCTAAATGTCCATCAGGGGAAGGATGGATGAATAACCTTTGGTACATACACACAATGGAACCCTACGAATCACTGGCGAAACTGCGAGACACCTCATGACCTGGAGGGACCGGGAAAACACTGTGCTGAGGGAAGCGAGTCACACACAAAAGGACTACCACCACTGAGACCACTGATATTAAAAAAAAAAATCAATGAATCAAGAAAATGTTTTCATATGAAAAGAAACACTTAGCTGGTTACCAGGGGTGGGAGAGGAAGAGAGAGGAGAAGACGGAGCTTTCTACTCCCGTAGAGAGTTCCAGCCTTGGAAACCCACAGGGGTGGTGCCACCCTCTCCCACAGGGTCACTAAGAGTCGGCATCAACTCAAAGGCAGTGAGTTTGTTTTGTTGTTTTTTAGGTGAGGGTGTGACTTAAGACACGCTCCTTCATTTTCCTTGGGGGTATGGTCAGGTAAAAGACAACCACACCTCCATCAAAGCCACTCCTCGGTGTCTAAGAGCCCCCTGGGACACAGGGAAAGATGGCAGGACCATGTGGAAGCGCACATCCAAGGATCTGGTCTCAAGTGGCACAGAGGCCCCAGCACTGCAGCGTGGACACAGAGAGGCAGCACCGAGCCTGCGGGTACCTTCTCCTCATCTGGCCCGAGTCTACGGACCTGTGAGACAAAGCGATGGGCCCTCAGAGGCAAAGAGCAAGGGACCATGTGGCTATGAGTCTGAGGGTAGGAGAGAGACCTGGCTGCTGCCTGAGGCCTAGTGTCGCTGTGGACCAAGGGGCGGTATCCTTATTATTTGCTGATCTAACTTGTGATAATCTATGAGCTTCCCTAATGAACTCCCTAATTGTGAGTCTGTGTGGCCACTACAACAAATAATGGAACCCAGCATAGAAACAGAGTGCTGTGGGCAGAAGCCAAAGAACCGCATGGCTACCAGGCTCAGGACCGGGCACAGACGAGCTGAGAGCATAACTGGAAAGAGGCATTGGTGCAGAAAACAGGATTGTATCCTTAATACTTTCTGATCTTGACTGTGACAGCCTGTTAGTTCTCATAGTAAACCCCCCTAGTTGTGAGTGTTGTCTCTGAGTCCTGTGTGGCCATGGCAGCAGATATGGAATGTCGTCATAATTTAACTAAAGCAGTGCCGTCGAATGCCATGGGAGAAAGGACTGGTGTCAGAAGAGGAGACTGAAGGATGTAAGGTGGAGGCAGGTCTGACCTCTGCCTTGTGGGAATAGACGGAGCTGCATTCTCCTCCCTACCGAGCTCTGCAAAGGTCCCCGGGGCCTTCATACCATTTACAAAATGAACTCAAGATGGTTCAGAGATCTCAGTGCAAAACCCAGAGCTATAGAAATTATCAAG